TTTTGGGTGACCATGGGCTTCAACCCCAGGTGTAGTTCTGGATCTCTTCATGTTGTCCCCATTTTAGGCTGCCAGGCCAGTTACGCCCCAATAGGATTCTACGCATTTCTATAGGCCATGGGGCCCGGATGCTTGTCACAGATGTCCGGCCTGGGACAAAATGGTCAGTTTTGATATAAAACACCTGCTGTGTGCCGCGATCGGTGAACTGCCCAAGGGATTACAGGGATTCAAGGGGAAAATCAAGGGAGTTAAGAAAAAAAACAACAACTTCAAGATGCCATATGTTGCCTCAAAACTTGGGTTCTGGCTACATCCATGAACTGCTTGAAATGCAAGAACTGTACTATACAATACTTGAGGCACCATACTTGAAAATTCTCAGAACATCAATGTATGCCAACGGAAAACACGAGAAGAAGATTGCCGCAGCAAACTCAGAGCTTTTGGATCCACAAGAGCAAAGGATATGGCTCCCAGTGAGTCCAAACTTAGGGATGAAACCTCTCATAGTTAGCACTTAGAAAAGATAGAATTTAGCAAATTCCAGGAAAAAGGCGTATATATATATATATACGTGTATCTGTATGTATATATATATATACACAGTATATCTACAATATATATATATATGTACATGTATTAATCTTTTTGGTATTTAATTATATAATCATTGTTCGTAGTCGCCATGTGACTTGTCGATGACCTGTGGAAGCTTTCCACCGGGATGGTAAATTTAGTGGAGGGTAACCCAGGGGTAATTTATGGAATCATTGGGAATTTCTCGGTATACATTGAATTGTTCAGAGTCTTGGATTTTTTTTTGGGTGGAAGACAGTTAGGAACTTGTATGCCAAGTTGAACCCGCATCAGAACTGCTTCAAAGGGGTTTGTTTGAAAATAAACTGCCACACGCTACCATGGTTTGTCATCAGTTGCTCAATTTAAACGCGCAAAAAGCATTGAACACATTGAAAACAACAGAAACACATAAAACAATCTAACATATTCAGTCAGTCCAATTTCCTAATTTTTGGACCAGTGCAATTTGGGACTTCACCCTGATCGCTGCAGCTGGGCGTTCCAAGAACCCAGCTTCATCGTAACATCTGGGCGCGTTTTGAAGGATGGAAAGGAATCTCCTGAAATCGCCTGGATTTGGGATATTCGTCACAGGATAGCCCAAGTACCTTGCATGAAAAATCCAATGAGTATAATGAGTTGTGGGACATGATGCCAGATGTGCTTAGATTCTGGGGTGAGATGCTATGTGACCATGACCATCCATGACCATGAGCATGTTCCAAAGGGTTGGTCCACTTTTATGGGGGATTGTGCATCAGAGACATCATTTGGTGTTGGGATGTGATGATGAGTTCCTCGGGACCTGTGTCAGCCGATAACCTTAATAAGATATAAGGCCTAGCAGATTGATTACGAAAATTATCACCAAAATGGTCATAGATATACTATGATATGTTAAAATGATGACATTATGGCAATAAAAACATTCCGATACTTGTCATATATATATATACATATTTATGACCATTTTGGTCACATTCATTACTAAAATGATCAGCAAAATGATCATAAACAAAGCTCAAGGGAAGTGTGCAATAGTGATTTAAGAGGTCCCAACGTCGGAAGCGAAATGCGGAGACACTGTGGTGAAACGATCCCAAAGGTGATGAGAGGGTCTGTATAAGCCTGTTGTTGGTGAATGTGCTCCATGATTTACAATCCCATCACATACACATTGGTGAAACTGGTTTTCCTCAAATATAAACACACAAGGTATAATATTATCATATAATATAATATTATATCATATCAATCCGTATATTTTGACATATATATATACATATAATACATATATATATATATATATCAAGAACTATCAAGATAAAGTTGTAATGATCTCAGTGTGACGTCAATGGAATGATCATTAGGATCGGGAATCATTCCCAAATGGCTTCAAGTTTCAGCTATTTTCTGGTCAGTGAATTATGATTGAGTTATCATAACCTTCGAACTCTCTCTCTCTACATATATATATACACACACATGTCAGACATGTCATACATGCGATATAACACACATATGTATATACATATACATATATGATATCATTTATATATATACTGTATACATACGTAACCTTGAACGGAGCAGAACAAAAACAGCGTCTCAGGTCTCCGGGAGAGTCTTATCAACAGAAATGTGTCGTTTTTCCAATAGAAATTCGATGCTTGAAATACGAGAAAAGCCCACTGGTTAGAAAAAATCATGGGGATTTACAATACATAACAACCAATGATGGGTATAACTGATTGATGTTGTTATTTTGATTCAATATAATGTGTTACAATCATATCAGTTTCATTATAATGTGTTACAATCATATCAGTTTTCCCTCCATTTTTAGACAACCATTTTAATGTAACAATATCAATCATATCAGTTTTATTATCTGAAAATGGTTTCAACCCCCAACAAAAATCCATTGGTTTTCATGGCTATGGGCTATAACTATATTTTTTTGCGGGGGTATACCTATGTTCAGACAAAGCCATATTTCCTTTGTCACATGTTTTTTTTGTCAGAAGACATTGACTCTGGAAGGTATCATGTCATTGTACCTTTAACTCATTCGGATTCTTTGACTCCTTCTACTCCGCGTGAGCTCTTTTTGTTCGACTGGCACCATTTCCAGAGTTGATTTGAGTGCCTGTCGCCTGAGCATCCGCAAAAAGACTGGTGTATGGTGGACTGTGTGGGATTGTATTATCAAATTTAAATCGCTATCATCCCAAATCAGGAAAGATAATTTTTTTTTGATATGGAAGCAGCTGTTGCTGAACGTGCCCATAATTTGTTCTAATTCCAATGAAATTCACAATAATGGGGTGGATTTTCCTTAACTGTCGCGATTTTTGTATGTGAAATCATGTTACTCTAGGTCCAATTAACGATGATCTCAATTTGATTGAAGTTCTACTAGTAAAACTCATTAAAAATCATGATTATTGCTGG